CTTGACTTTCATCAGACCTGCCCTTGTTTCTTTGAAGTCTTCGGCGACAGCTCTGGGTTTGTACGTTATTCAACCTACATCTATTCTCTCACACACCCACCTTTTTCCCCCAGAGGCTCTTGCTGAAAATGATGGTGACCTGCAGGCACGGAGCCTGCACGGCCCAGACCACCTGGTGTATCCTTAGCCGGTGCACAGAGGAGTTCTGTCCATAGATGAGCCCGTCATCTCTGCAAAGTTCCATCATAGATTATATTTTCACGGCCAGTCTTCAATGACTCGTTCTCTTTTATCTGTGGGGGGATAAGGGTTTTTGGAAAGAATCTTAATCTGAATGTAACAATGAAGGTAGGAATGACAAATGGCTTATCTGTTAAAATGTTGCTGGATGTGTAACTGTATCCTTTCTGGCTAATCTCAGTAGAGGACTTGTCTTGGGGCTCCTGCTGGTGGAAGAGTTACTTTTATTTTGAACCTGCAGGAGGCCCCTCTCTTTATATGTATCAAGTAGGAACTATGCATGCCTGTGTTGGGGGTTGGGGCAGCCACCACAGCATTCCAGAACACTCTGCCCAAGTGAGTAGGAGGTGGAGGCCAGCACCTCTATTTTGTGACTGGCTTTTTGCGGGTCAGCCCATAGCAGCAGGTCAGTACCTCTGTTCCAACTTTAGATTAAACCCATCTCCAAGTTAATGGCTCTGATGCAAGCAAAGTAGTTGATGGCAGTTTAGCTCTTCCACAGAATTAAATGATGCACATGTGTTAGAAATCTTAGGCAAAAGTGATTCTCTAAAGTAGCTGGTATTGCCTCACCAATTGGTATGCTACCGTTCTATAAATTTCTTTTTCACTTTCTGTTAATATTTTCCTATGTCCTATAATTGGGTAGCAGTCCTATTGGCTGAAGCCCAACCTTGAACCTGTTATAAGCTTAAAACGTTATAGCACAGTCAAGCTCCTGATGCCAACTTTGGGATTCTTTTAAGCCTTCCCCAAGAGAGAGGAGCTTGGAAGGGCTGAAATGCCCTTAGAATGAGGAAAAGGAAATAGTGGAACCATTTTATCCTGTTTCTTTGCAAGAAAACCAACCAGGTGATCTTAAGGAGATCAAAAGGTTGGTCTTTTTAATTGACCACACTTACCAGATATATAAGTTAAAAGGTCGCAGAGCCTTGACCCTGGCACCAGAAGGTTCAGAAAGCTCTGTATCCTGAGACTGTCACCTGAAGACCTCGAAATGGACCAGAGTCTTGATTCCATTCTCGACTTGATTTGGGTCTTTTTACCAAAAACATAGCTCAGCAAAGGGCCACCACTGAGAGAAAAAGTGAGAGGAGTAACTTCTAGGAATTCTTTCAGGATGGCTATTATTATTTCTCCTGATGTGGAGGGATGGAATTTGCTTCACAGAGATTAGGCATCTTAAAAAAAAAAAAAGCCCGGGTGTAGGGTATGATGCCAGAATTCACATATGTTGGTGGGCTTGTCTGGCCTCAGGTGGCACAGGCCTGGATTGCACTCGAGCTCCACACTTCCTCACGGCCAGACAGGTCCCCGGTCACTGTGGTTCCTCCCCTGTAACACAGGCACGTGACAGTGTGCACTCAGGATAGATGTGAGATGCAAGCAAGGTTCTGTAGGTGAATGATTAACACATCCTGGCCCATTAGAAACCATTAGCATTAGTTACCATCATCGGGTTTTTGTGTGTGTAACAGCCATTTGGAAGGATCATGCCCATCTACGGCTCATTCCCTTGGACATCGGCCCTTGCCATTGTTCTCCAGTGGCAGAGCTAGGCTGGCTGCTTGCCAGGCCACACTGCTGCTCCCGGCTGACTATGGGAACAGGTACCAAATATCATCAATTCTCTGGGCTCTTGTTCCCTTTGGCCACCCTCACCCCGAAGCAATTTTGAGCTCATTCCATGATGATTAAATATAATATTGGTATAACAGGACATTATGTTGATTACTGTGACCCAAATGTGCATCAAAACATTAAGGCTTAATATTATTTAATCTGATATCTGCTAATGCCATAAAGTACTTACTTCCAGAGGAAGCAAATTTTCAATCTGCAAAAGGACTGTCATGTGAACCCTGCTTTCAAGGAGCACAAAGTTCTGGTCCTAATGTTGTCACGGCTGTTTGTTATATGCCTAAGAAGCCCACAGCTGACCACATACAGGACTTGGGCTTCACAGGGAGTTATTGATAACATATAAGAATTTATTATGTGGTTTTCTGCTTTTTCTAAAGTGAAAATGAGATGACTACTCCAAAGAGTGGATCAAAAGTATTAGTTATTTTATGCTTAAAACTGTTTGACTTGAAAAAAGTAATGATTTTTTTTAAAATTTAAAATTCAAAGATGAAGAAATCAAATCTATCATAATCCATATCTAATTTTTCAGCAAACAAATTCTGTACTTACGGAGATGTGTATTTGTGAAAAGACTGTTGCAACACGTCTTGTCACTCACTTGCACTTCTATCATTTTTAAATACTTTTGGTGTAGAGTTGAAAGGAACTTCTGCATTTATTATCAATACAATTTCACACATTTTACGAGCATCTAGTTGAGAATAGGGGTAATTTACTTACATTCAGATGGTTGGAAAGAACATGTAGGATTTTTAGAATGTTCTCTCTCTGCTGAGTTTTGCAAATGTTAACTGAATTGTCCTCTTAGTGCCTTTCATCTCAGAGCTAAAAGTGAAAATTGCTGTTCAAGGTGAGAAAAATCAAGGAGCAATAAATGCTAACAAACAGACCATTCCACTCAACCGGAAGTCTACTGTATCTAATATTAAAACTCTTCAGATAAACTACGGAGAAAACTATGGTGTTTTCAGTGATAAATCTCATGTTAAGGAATTTCTCTTTTCTAATTCAACTTTATTTAAATCCACACATATATGGGAAGTATCTCAAATTCTTCCCAAATGCAGTTAGCCATTTTTGTATATGTACATGTATGTTTCGTGCACTGACTAGATGGTTTTAGAAGCACAGCTGGCTCTCGAGCTGATGGAGGACAGAAGGCTGATGGGCATGCAGATCCAGGCTGGAGGTCCACTCCTCGCTGCCCCGGCACTGGAGGTTTACCATGTAGCGGATTCTCTGTCTTCCCATATTACAGACAACCTGCCTCCAGCAGGACTGAGAGAGCTTTTATTTCTCCTGCCTCATAAATATACCAAACAGGATTGCCCTGAGACCGGTCTGGGAGCTCGAGATAGGCTTTTAGTGTTTTCTGATGGGAAGAGATGGGCTCGTGTGGCTTTTACCATCCAGGTACCATAATTGATTCAGTGTGTGTTAATTCATTTGGCCAAACCTTTCTGGAAAAATGCCCATGCTGAAGCATACTAAGATAGCAATCACAGTTTTGAAATGTGTGTCCAAAGGGCTGGACAGGTTTTAGAAAATATAAAATCTTTTAAGTTAGGTATAAGCAGATTGGTAATAAAAATCCATTCTTCATTTATCAGACCTGTTTGCATGCTTCCCATGAGCTAAGCACTGTCTCCTCCCACAACTTACAGATCTGGGGGACAGGGGAGGGACAGGATAAACAAGTAGGTGCAGTGGTTCTTCCTGCCATTAGTGAGCAGAAAAGAGAGGGGTAGTGATTCTATCTCGGGGACCACGAGGAAGCCTTCACGAACAAGTTAACCGTTTACCTTTGGCTTTTTTTTATTTTAACATCTTTATTGGAGTATAATTGCTTTACAGTGGTGTGTTAGTTTCTGCTTTATAGCAAAGTGAATCAGCTATACATATGCATATATTCCCATATCTCCTCCCTCTTGCGCCTCCCTCCCACCCTCCCCATCCCACCCCCCCAGGCGGTCACAAAGCACCGAGCTGATCTCCCTGTGCTATGTGGCTGCTTCCCACTAGCTATCTGTTTTACGTTTGGTAGTGTATATATGTCCATGCCACTCTCTCACTTCGTCCCAGGTTACGCTTCCCCCTCCCTGTGTCCTCAAGTCCATCCTCTACGTCTGCGTCTTTATTCCTGTCCTATCCCTAGGTTCTTCATAACAAAATTTTTTTTTAGATTCCATGTATATATGTTAGCATACGGTATTTGTTTTTCTCTTTCTGACTTACTTCACTGTGTATGAAAGACTCTGGGTCCATCCACCTCACTACAAATAACTCAATTTCGTTTCTTTTTATGGCTGAGTAATATTCCATTGTATATATGTGCCACATCTTCTTTATCCATCCGTTGATGGACACTTAGGTTGCTTCCATGTCCTGGCTATTGTAAACAGAGCTGCAATGAACACTGTGGTACATGACTCTTTTTGAATTATGGTTTTCTCAGGGTATATGCCCAGTAGTGGGATTGCTGGGTCATAATGGTAGTTCTATTTGTAGTTTTTTAAGGAACCTCCACACTGTTCTCCATAGTGGCTGTATCAATTTACATTCCCACCAACAGTGCAAGAGGGTTCCCTTTTCTCCACACTCTCTACCTTTGGCTTTAATTGTTAAACCTCAAAATTCACCCCCACCCCATGACTATGCTTGTCATATATTGTAATATATGACTTCTTAGTAACTACAAGTCTGAGTATGACCACCTATGTTGATGAGAGACACGAGCCCTTTATTAATTCCCTTCTGGTTCAACAGCTGGCACTCAAATGACAGCATACATACGTGAGTGTAGGTATCTCGTTATTTCGGGACATCTGAAGTCAAGCAGAGTGTCCTGGCAGCCCTGGCTTGGCTCCCCCTGGCCTCCCACAGCTTCCTCCCGTCTCTGATCCAGGTTCCTGTGGCGCTAGCATCCTAATGCAATGAGCCCTTGGCAGCGTCAGCCCCAGAGCCTGCAGGCGACCAGGGAACCCGGCTCTGCCACTAACTGTGCAGATTCCCTCCCACCCACCTTGGAGACAGACCGGCCCCAGTGCCCTTTTGCTTGCCAGGCTCCTGTCCTCGCCCTTGTGAGATGGCAGAGCCGCCCGGTGTCCCCGCAGGTGGCAGAGAACCAGCCGCTGTTCTGCGCGCTCAAGGCGCTGCTGGAGGAGCTGCGTGTGGAGCTGCGGGAAGACGAACGTGCACGGCGGCGGCTGCAACAACAATATGCGGGCGATAAGGCCTCCTGGGACGTGGAGTGGGCCGCGCTCACATGCCGCCTGGAGCAGGTACGGCCGCCAGGGCTCCGCTCCGACCGCGGGGAGGGTCCGGATCCCAGGGCCCTGCCAGGGAAAGAGGGTGCGAGGAGAAAGCCAGGAGCAGCTGCCCCTGCCACCCCAGAAAGTCCCCGCCTTCCCACAGTGCTGTCTTTTCCCTACTATTACCTCTCCCAGATCTAGAACACTGCCCCAACCCAGCAGCATTTCAAAAGTAGCGTTTATTTTCCCATTCTGTGTAGAACAAGGTTGTCTCTTTTTGTTATTATTATTAAATTTATTTAAAAGCAAAAAGCGTTCACCCATTCCCTGCCCTCTTCCCCTGGCAACCCCCAATCTGTTCCATGCATCTCTGAGCTTGGCTTCATTTATAATATTTATAGAGTCCACATATACCAGAAATCATACAGTATTTATCTTTCTCTGTCTGACTTATTTCACTTAGCATAATGCCTTTGGGGTCCATCCATGTTGCTGCAAATGGCATTATTTCATTCTTTTTCATGGTTCAGTGGTATTCCATGATACAAATGTACCACATTTTCTTTATCTATTCATCTGTCGATGAACACTTAGGTTATGCGTTATTTCTCGGCTACGGTAAACAGTGCTGCTATGAACATGGGGGATATCTTTTTACATTAGTGTTTTCGTTTTCTTCAGGTAACAGGATACATGAAAACATGTTCTACGTTATTAATCATCAGGGAAATGCAAATCAAAACCACAATGAGCTGTCACCTCACACCTGCTGGAATGGTTCTTATCAGGAAAACTAGAAATATCAAGTGTTGGTGAAGAGGTGGGGAGAAGGGAGCAAGGCTGTCTTTAGTGCCACTGAAGCATGACCAGGGTGAAAAACGTGACCAGAGTGCACTGACAGAATTCAGACAGGGGCAAAGAAAAAGGAGATTGTGGTTTAGTTACCTCTGAAAAAAGGAAATGAATGCTTTCCGTTAGATTTCTCCCAATACCAGAAAGAGCTTGTAGACCTACCTCCCGCTACAGCCCTGGAAGTCTGATCAATTTCGGTGTCCTTATTTACGTGGAAGGAGCCCGAGGCCCAGAGGAAGCGTGTCGTCTCAGATCACAGAGGCTTTAGTGCAACTGGAGCTGAGAGCAGGTTACTGCCTCCACCGCCCACAAGAGAGCAGAGCCTCTCGGAGATTTGAGACCCCAGCCCTGGTCGTTAAGATCGGGCTGAGCCAGGAACGCTGTTTTCTAAGTGCTTTCTCCCTGGAAGTCTTTGAAAGCGGTGTCACTTCCCATGTAGGGTCTGCTCGCTCAGATTGCTTCTCCAGGTTTCTTCCAGCCCCTTGATCACGATAAGGGAGGAAAGGTCTGCACGTCTTTGATAATCTATTTTCTAGGCCCTGTTTTGAGGCAAACCATAAAGTAATCAAAACTTTATATGAATTGGCTCAGTCATGAAAGAAAACACTTGCCTGGAAAGAAGACATCTTCTAAATGGCCTTGATAAAAGATTAAAGGGTCTGTCCTGTCAAAAGAAGACAGCTCCCGTGGTACCCACAAGTTCACGGGCACTGCTGCCTGGTCCAAGGGAGCAGAAGTGTCCGGCTCACATCCCTGGGTGGAGCACAGGTATAGCCTCCTCTGCAGGCGAAGCAGCAAAGCATAGCTGGACCAAAGCACCAGGCCAGGCTTGGGCAAGGGATGCAGCTGCTAACCCAGTTATGACTCCTGCCTACTGCTGGGTAGGAGGTTCTTACTAGATTTTCTGTTTATCTTAGTTCGCAGCCTGAAGAGCTGGCAGTGGATGAGAAATGAGTAAGGACGTTCTGATGAGCTGCCTTTAAACTTACTTAAAACTATGTTTATAGTGGAAAAATCTAAATATTTTCAGAGATGTAAGCGTAGCTAAAAAGAGGAGGCATAATCTTTGATGTGAGCCAGTTTCTCAGACATTTGGAGCCCGGGGAATGATGGATGTGGGCTGATGCTAGTTCACTCATCTTTATCCTTTTCTACTTAAATGCAAAACAGTTGAATTCTACTGAAAGTGAAGTATTTTCTCTCAGTGGAAGCCATCTTGTGTCAGTTCCCAAATCTGTCATTCCTTCAATTGACTCCTAGGTCAGACCTTGCTCTAACTGCCAGGATCCCCCAACAAATAAGACAGATCTTGAAAGGGTTCTCAGTGCAGTGGGAGACCAGACAAGGGCCACAGTTAGTACTAGTGTGGCAAGTGCCCCGCCAGGCCTGTACACAGGCTCTCAGGGATGGGGGGGGGGCATGCAGGGCACACACCTCGGCTTGAGGGTTCAGGGAAGGGTTGTTTGTGAAAGCCCTGCTTAGAATGAATCTCGGAGGATGAACAGGAGTGGGCACATGGAAAAGGAGAGAAACAGTCTTTTGGACAAAAAAGGGACATCATGAAGAAAAGAGCATGGCACACCGGAGGAGCTGCACCTTGTCACATACGAGTGGAAAGCAGAATAGCCAAAGAACTGAAACATTAATCCTGATTTTATCATGCGAGTAAAACATTTTGACTTGCGTTTTTAAGAAGTAATTCTGGTATTGAGGTAGAGAATGGATTAGAAACCATTAGAATTGAATGGATTAACATGGGTCCATGGGTAGACTTCGGGGATCTGCTGAACTAGAATAGGCAAAAGGATACATCTTTATGTTCATGAATCTTTCACTAAAATTTATCACATTCACCAACAACAGTACACCCCCAATTCCCTCCTCCTGTCCTCTGTGCTGTTGTCAGTTTACTTCTACACATTCTCTAAATACAAAATACAATGCAACTATTTTTACTTCAGACACTCAGTAGTATTCTAAAGCAGTTAAAAACAGGAGGAAATGAGTTATATTTGCATTTATTTAGGTCATTTTCAGTGTTCATTTTTCGTGCAGGTCAAAGTGTTTCTTGATATCATATTCCTTGTGCCTGAAAATTTCCTCTATCATTTCTTGAAATGTAAGCCTGCTTTAAAGTTTTCATTTGTTGAAAAAGCATTTTTCTTCCATCATTTTTGAAAGATGCTGTTGCTAAGTATAGAATTCTGTTGAGGTTGACATTTTCCCCCTCCAGCCCTTTCAAGATGTCACTCCATTTTCCCCCGACTTACATACTTTCCGAGGACAGGTCTGCTGTCATTCTCGTCTGCGCACCTCCATTTGTGGTTTATTTTTTTTCTCTGTCTGCCTCCAAGGTTTCCTCTTTGGTTTTCAGCAGTTTGCATGTGATGTCTAGATGGGAGTTCTTCAGCTTGTTAGTTTTTGGTCTTTAATCTCCTGGGTGTTATTATAGACTGCCAGGTTACATCACTCTCCCATCACCAGGTTCCACATGGGGGCTAAGGATGTAGGGGCAGACACGTGCCTGCCTGCAATGAGTTGTACAGCAGGACAGGCAAGAGATGTGGTGACTCACAGTTGGGAAGGGAGAGTAAGAAGCAGACTCTGGGAAGCTGGGTGGATTCACTGCTTCACCTTCTGTGTGACTCTGTCAGATTTTTTTTTTTTAACGTCTTTATTGGAGTATAATTGCTTTACAATGTTGTTTCTGCTGTACAACAGAGTGAATCAGCTATATGTATACGTATATCCCCATATCCCCTCCCTCTTGTGTCTCCCTCCCACCCCTCTAGATGGTCAGAAAGCACTGAGCTGGAGATCCCTGTGCTATGCAGCTGCTTCCCACTAGCTAGCTATTTTGCGTTTGGTAGTGTATATATGTCAATGCTACTTTCTCACTTCATCCCAGCTTACCCTTCCCCCTCCCTGTGTCCTCAAGTCCATTCTCTTCGTCTGCATCTTTATTCCTGTCCTGCCTCTATGTTCATCAGAACCACTTTTTTTTTTTTTTTTTAAGATTCCATATATATGTGTTAGCATACGGTATTTGTTTTTCTCTTTCTGACTTAACTTCACTCTGTATATATGACAGACTCTGGGTCCATCCACCTCACTACAAATAGTTCAATTTCGTTTCTTTTTATGGCTAATATTCCATTGTATATATGTGCCACATCTTTATCCATTCATCTGTCGATGGACACTTAGGTTGCTTCCATGTCCTGGCTATTCTAAATAGTGCTGCAATGAACATTGTGGTACACGCTTTTTTTTTGGGGGGGGGGGGCGGTACGCGGGCCTCTCATTGTTGTGGCCTCTCATTGTTGCGGAGCACAGGCTCCAGACGCGCAGGCTCAGCGGCCATGGCTCACGGGCCCAGCCGCTCTGCGGCATGTGGGATCTTCCCGGACCGGGGCACGAACCCGTGTCCCCTGCATCGGCAGGCAGACTCTCAACCACTGCGCCACCAGGGAAGCCCCCACGCCTCTTTTTAAATTACGGTTTTCTCAGGGTATATGCCCAGTAGTGGGATTGCTGGGTCATGTGATAGTTCTAATTTTAGTTTTTTAAGGAACCTGCATACTGTTCTCCATAGTGGCTGTATCAATTTACATTCCCACCAACAGTACATGAGGGTTCCCTTTTCTCCACACCCATTCCAGCATTTACTGTTTGTAGATTTTTTGATGATGGCCATTCTGACTGGTGTGAGGTGATACCTCACTGTAGTTTTGATTTGCATTTCTCCAATGATTAGTGATGTTGAGCATCCTTTCACGTGTTTGTTGGCAATCTGTATATCTTCTTTGGAGAAATGTCTATTTAGGTCTTCTACCCATTTTGGGACTGGGTTGTTTGTTTTTTTTGATATTGAGCTGCATTAGCTGCTTGTATATTTTGGAGATTAATCCTTTGTCAGTTGCTCTGTTTACACATTTTCTCCCATGTCAGATGTTTTTAATTACGACTTTAAAGATGAAAAGTGCTTCCTCCATAAGATTGGTCAGATCTTGGTTTAAACATGTTTCCAGGGATAATACATGAACGTGCTGAGATTTTCTTTACCTACTAACGCGAGACTGTCAGGGACTAAGTTCCTAAGTCTGTTCTCCTTGACAGCTGGAAGCGAAGACTGAGAAAAGCTTGGGAGACCTGGGCTCCTCTGCTGACAGCAAAGGGGTGTTCACAAAGGAGAGGGAGGCACAGCAGAAGCTCCTGGCTGACAGTCATGGGCTGGTCATGGACCTGCGGTGGCAGATCCACCACAGCGAGAAGAACTGGAACCGAGAGAAAGTAGAGCTTCTCGACCGCCTGGACCGGGAGCGGCAGGAGTGGGGGCGGCAGGAGAAGGAGCTCCTGTGGAGAATCGAACAGGTGAGGATGCCCCAGGGGAGGAGGTGAGGATGCCCCAGGGGAGGAGGCGGAGACGCCTGACCTGGAAATCAGAGCACTCAGAAGGGGAAAATCAGACAGCTCGGAGGTCTCTGCTGCCTCAGGCTGATGTAGGGGCTTCCAGAGGAAGAGGAAGAAATCCTAGGAGTTCTGGTGTTGGAGACCTAGGCTCAGCCCTCCCATGACACAGACCTTTTCATCGCAAAGTCTGTGGGTAACTTCCCTGTGTGTGTACGGTTGGGGGGTAACTTTTTAAAGGTGTTTAAAGACTAAACTTGAAAGATGAGATTATTTCAGGCCTTAGGAAGTGATTTCTACCAAAAAGCAAACTAGCTTTTAAGTCTGCCACTAAAGATGTGGTCATGGTGACTGCTCCAGCTTGAATGGAACTGTTGTCCATTAGTAAAGAAATTGCTGAAGTCAGTAGGAAGTCAGGCTGTTTGCACCTGCTGTGGATCTTGTGGAGCTGTGATTAGACAGGACACAGTCAGGGAAAGTGACTGATCGTTCATCGTCTTCAGCTAAACAAACATTGAAAAATGTAGATGAGTTCTGTGGGAAAGGGGGAGTTGTTGTTCTAGAGATAATCACTCCCTGCCTTGCGTCAGACTTAGGACAGTTTGTGTAGCTGCAGTCCTGCCTGAGCAGTGCACAAATTAAATTTTCACATGAAACTGATGAAGGACTGGGATTCTACCCTGGCTGGATTTTTACAGAGCATGCACTGTAGTTCAGCCTGTCGCACTTGTAATAAATTCAGGAGGCCTCAAGGAAATGTATTAATCAATAAACTGAATGCAGGAAAAATAACTTCATTGTTCTATTATAAATATCCATGCTGTCTTTTGGAAAATGTGCTGTATTATCCCTAGACATGGGACCTGTGTTCTGCAGGTGCAGTGGCAAAGGTCCGTTTCTGCTCACTGCTGAGATGGGAGGGGGCGAGGGAGAGAGAACTGAAAAGGACCAGGAATCTTTGGCTCTGAAACCTCTGAGCAGAAGTGCACTGCAGATAAAGAGGCCCGACATCCTTCCTGGGTTTGGTTACTCACACAGCTGAGTCACCAGACTGGTAGATGATATGGCTCATTTCAAAATTCCCCAAATTCTATCGAAGGAAAGTTGGCCACTTCCTGTTTGGCCTAGAAATGTGGCACCTGAGAAGCATCTTCTGTCTTAAATCCCCTGTGTGCCTGTGCTCTATGCAGAGGATCAGCTGTCGGGTGGGAATCGTAGGGGCAGATGCAGCACATACCCTTACAAAGTGGTCACGGATTCATCCATTGTTCGTTAACCAGTATCCTGGCTCCTCCAGGTACCTCGTTATCAGGGAGGGTCCCTCCTGGCCATCCCTCCAGGACCGTACACACTGTCCCTCCCGCACCCCAGTAAGGCCATCGTCATCACCCCTTTGCCCGTGAGCTGTAGGCTTGTTGGTCTCATCATGGCTTCATTTTGGAAGTCACACCTTGGATGTAAGTTAAGCAAGTCTTTAAGGGCTTCATTTTACTTTGGGGAATGAGGAATTTCTAGTAAAGGAAAAATTAGTAAGACATCCCGTGACATTTAATGTTCGAAGAGTTAATGCCCTAGGGATGAACAGCCACCCCATTTTAAGACTATCTTTGGAAAGATGAGTGGGCAGGGGCTGAACTCCATTTCCAGACTGTCACTACTGCCATGGCCCTACCACGATGACAGCCTCAGAACCTCAGTCATCAAGGTTAACATCTTTGAGCAAAATGGACTCAAGACACGTGGGTTCTGGGGCGTTCATTCATCTGTTCCTGAAATCTGTGTGGTGGATCCCGCAGGCTTTGTACAATGATTTCATTGCTGTTTTCAGAAGAGGGTTTGTTGATGCTTCAGATATGCAATTGTGGCTTTCAAAAATAAATCCAGCCTTCCCCCCCCCCAAATATTTGACATTTAAAAAATCACAGTACCCAATCCTGAAAATGAGGAAAAGCAGTTATAGGTATTCTCTGTAAAAGAGGAAATTGGCTGAAGTGTAGTGTATGACTTTTTTTTAATCAGTTATTGAGTTGTTTATTCATTTAACTTTTAGCTGCACATTCCGTAGATGTGCAGACATCTACATCTACAACAAGACACGTAGACAAACATTCTTCATAACGTATGCCCCTCGATATCTATGTGGTGGGCCGTGTAACCTTGTCTGTGACGACCTAATACAGATGGTGAAAGAAGTAACACTAAATCCATTTTCCACTTTGAGAACACTTGCTCCGTACTTGCCCGGTGGTGTTGAATTCCTACATGATTTCTGTGCCATGTGAGGCATCTGACATGACGAATGACTGTGGGAATGTGGTTAAGGTCATGTAACACACACCATCTCTCTTATCAGCATCTGTCTCAACCCAGATCTGATGGGTGAGAGTTAACTTTCCTGGAGTTACACTGCTTTCTCCTCCGAACTGTTCAGTCTGTTAGCCTGCAGAGGCCTGCGGAGTTGGCTGTGGTAAAGGACTAAATGAAAGCTCCCATGTCATTCTTCTTCCAGTGACTTCCTTAAATCAGTTACCTCTGCAGCATGAAAGGCTGTTCTTTTAAAACCTGTGTACAAAGTAACCTTTTTTCTTGTGACCAATTCAGGTAAAGTGACATTCTCAAGGGTTTACTGTTGCCTGCAAACCTTGTAAATTTGGTGTTTGCAAGGCAAATAAGTTATATAAGTTGTTCTACTGCAGGACTCTAAGTACAGTAGGTGCTGATGCCTGGTTTGAAATGACTCTCCTAGGAAACCCTATCCTTGTAGGGACCACTTATTCTATGACAGCACTGCAGAGGCATCCTGGCAGCTGAAACCACTCCAGCTCATTTTTAGGGAACCTAACTAACACTTGCAGCTTTAGTGCACATTGCTCCTGGCTGCCCAGGTTTATTTTTGAAACCCCACTTTGCTGAGTGAGAATGTGCTGGATCATAGCTCTCCCCTGTAGTCATTCTCCCCGCTCTTCACACACACCCTCCGTGCACATTTACAGCTTCAAATGTGATTCTTGCATTTTAATTCTGTGCCCGAAATAGCTTGGAGATGATCATATGTTGAAACTAAATTACACTGACATGCATTAGATGAACATAATAAAAACCTTTCCTTTTCATTTTTTTAAAAAAGAAAGCATTTAGCATCTTTGAGAGCTATGTCACTGGGGAGGGGGTAGAGAGCAGAGGGGGCTGAGCTGAAACCCCCGGTGACTTGCTTGTTCCCTAATTCAACTGGGATTCTGCCTCAAACTCTAACATTTAAGCTGTAGCTGCTTGAATTGCCATCTTTCTCCTAAAATGAAGATAACACTCTGAGACTGGTTCCACCACCTCAAATTGCTAGAAATGAGTACAAGTCCCCATGACTCCTCATGGCTTTGTTCCCTATGACACACAGGCCACACTTATCCAGCTTGCTGATGAAGGCTTGAGTTAGGACAGGAGGTGTTGTTTGTGAAAGATGCCTTGTTAAAGGGTAAATAAATGTGCTTCCAAGGGAGGGTCAAAGCCTCCGGGCACCGTCTCAGCACCACTTCTGCTGCCCCCGTCCTTGAGTTCAAGTCCAAAGAGCAGCCAGGGCGGTGGAGTGTGTGAGCCGACCTGTCAAAGGTGCTTTCTGCCTGTTTTGGAGGGGAGCTCGGGAGGGTCCAGGGCAGCCCCTCAGGGCTCCTCCATGGAGAGGGCACTGCAGGCACGCGTGTCCCTGCCTGTCCCTGTGGTTCCACGCGGCTCCTCCTGAAGGGCCCCCTGCTGTGAGGACATGAGGCATTCGTTTATCAGTGCCCCCAGGCCTGAGGAATCACGCAGGCCTCAAGGGGGGTCGGTGGTGGTCCCGCTCTGACGAACAGTGAGCTTTACGCCGGGCCCGGCCTGCAGCCCTCCCACAGCCCCAGAGAGAGGGGCACCCCTCTTACAGGTGGGGACACTGAGCTGAGATGACCAGCCACACACACTGGTTGCAGGTCTCCTGAGGTTTCCCCACTGCTGCTGCTTGCATTTACCAAGTCAGAGAAAAGTATGACTCCAAACTATGTGGCTCATGTTTTTGTTTCTTTTTCTAGTCATACCAGATCTTTAATTTCCTCTGTAGCTAAATTTTAATCCTCTCAAGCAAAGTGTCAGATGTTTTCCACACCCAGTGGTTATAACCCAGGTGATCACTCGGGATTTATGTAGGACCCATTTCAAGTAGTTTGGAGACCACGCTCTGTTGTTATTTAGAAACTCTGCTAGTTAGGAAAATCAGATTCACCCTCAGAAGTTTGCTATCACTGATGGCTTTCCACTGAGTGTGCCTTACGTTCTGAAGGTAATTACCAAAAGCGAGTTCTAAATGTGTTGTTTGGTAATGTTAGATTAAAAAAATACATGTATAATTTCCTGTGAGCACAGTACTCAAAGTTATATACAATAACATATTCTCATCAGAAGGAGCTGGCTTGCGTGTGGTTGATGCAGATTTTTCTAGTCCATATAAAATTGTGATTTTTCTTTTCAAAAAGCATTTGTGATGTGTTATTTTTGAAATTAAGGTCAGAACTTTAAGAACGTAGACTTCTCACCATCTTTCAGAGAGACCATATGTTAATTCCAAATTGTGGAGAAACCACGACCTTAGGGAGCAACAGACAGAAAAATGAGGCTGATTGTTTTCATTTTTAAAACCCTCAAGTTGCAGAAAGTAAACAGTCCCCGGAGAGGTGGCAGTTTCCTCTGTGATCAAAAGGAAGGCGATGTCCACCCCTGTGCCCACACGGGGAGCCCCTGGGCACCCCACCCCACGGGGACGTGGCCCTGCATGGACACTGACTCCAGCACGTTTGAGGACCAGCCGCTGTCCAAGCTGAAGGAATCGGACAGGTGCTCGGCCCGGGAGAACCTCTACCTGGATGCCCTGTCCTTGGACGACGAGCCAGAGGAGCCTCCAGACCGCAAGCCCGAGAGGGAGTTCAGGAACTGCTTCCCCGAGGTCAGCCTGGGTTTGGGGTCTAGTTACCTGCGGCAGGACCGAGGGCAGGGGCTTGGGAAGGCGGCCGAGTGGCTGGCAGGCCCCTGGTTTTGCATATCACAGCCTCTGGGGTCAGTAAAAACAAACCCTTCATGATGCAGGAGCTTTGCTTGGTGGTCCTGACCCCCAGGCTCCCTGCTTCACTTAGCTGCTTGTCTCAGGTTCAGAAATTCAGGGCTTGGGTCCTGTGTGAATGGGAGTCTCAGGAACGGGAGTGTCCAGTGAAACACAAGAGGAAATATTGGGTTGACCAAAAAGTTCGATCAGTTTTAAGTAAAAATAAAAGACATTTTTCATTTCCAGCAAGAACTTTATTTAACGACGTATTCATTAACCAAACGAACTTTCTGGCAAACCCAATAGATCATCCTGGGAAGTGTAGAGCCGCAAGTTTTCTTAAAATTATAGTACGGCCTTCTGATTCCAGAAAACATTAATAACAGGGAAAAAAATTGCTTTAAAGAAAGTAACAAATGTCACTAACCAGTGACATACAATAAATACCTTATCTGTGCAAAGGGAAAAAAATCCAACACTAGAAACCTATGTAACTTAGATCAGCAAATAGAAGAGCTTAGCTCTGTGCAGAAATCTCCACGGCACAGCATTGGGTTTTTTTGGTTATGACTTTCTAAAAACTGAAAAACTGGGATTTAAAGATTGATTTTAGGAAGCATACCTGTGAGCCAATCTCACAGTGGCTGCACCTGTCATTTGACACGCTCAGCAGACGGGGTGCCCGTCAGGCAGGGATGTTGAAGTGGGGGATCACCCTCAGTCACAGGTCGGCGAGGTCAAGTGCCTTCTCCTCAGCACCTGTACCCAGCAGCGGTGACAGCGCCAGCATGCCACCCCGGGGATCTAGTGGCATCGTCTCCTATGCCATCTTCAAAGCAGTGGCCAGATCCCACGGGAGGGCTCCCTGGGGGATGCTCAGGTGGTTTACTGTGCCAGGACTCAGTCGCAATACCTCCAAGGCTCATTGGACCTCGCTCCCTCAGGACTGGTCCGCACGGGGGTGTCCTCAGGAGGACCGTGTGTGCATGTTCTCTTCTTTAGCAGAGGTCACTGTACCTTCCCTGATTCCCAAGGGCGATATTTAAAACAAAGAGCCCTCTAAGGATGTCACACCGACTTTTTTTGCATTTTTTATTGCAGTACAGTTGGTGTGCAATGTAAGTTGCAGGTGTACAACAGTGATTCACAATTTTTAAAGGTTATGCTCCCTTTAGTTATTATAAAATATTGGCAGTATTCCCTGTGCTGTACAATACATCCTTGTAGCTTATTTATCTTATATGTAGTAGTCTATACCTCTCACACCGACTTCTATAGACAGGCTGAGGCCAAGAGACGTCTCTCCCCTAACTTGCTCTCACCCTTGTCCTCCCTTCCTTCTTCTCCTCCATCTCCTCCTCCTCCCCGTTCTCCCTCTCCTCTCTTGCATGCGTTTGTTCTCTCTCTCTCTCTCCCCCTCCCTCCCTCTCCCTCTCCCTCTCTCTCTCTCTCTCTCTCTCTCTCACACACACACACACACACACTCACACACACACATACATTCAGTCATTAACGAGGCAGCTTTGAAGCTCACGTGCTTAGTGATGCCCTTTGAGGAGCACAGGAGAGCCACTTTGTGACAATGTTTATAGACACTTTTTCTCATTCACGTGGGCCCTCCCTGGACTCAGAGGCTCTAACCCCTCATCACCCCTGGATTCTGGTGTCATTATTGTACTTCAAAGGGCTGAGAGGCAGAGGCACTCTTGGCCCAAACTTGGCTCCCATGTACGTTTTAAATGGTATTGTCCTAAGAGAAAAACAAATCACTTAGCACCCTGAGGGCCCCCAGGCAGCCAGTGTTAACCAATTCAGATAAACTTCCTTCTTCTTTATAGGAAGAAGAAAATCACAAGGGAAATCTTCAAAGGTAAGTAAGATTGATGAAATGATAGTAGACTACTGCAGTAAAAACCTCCTGGTCTTGGGCTTCCCTGGTGGCACAGTGGTTAGGAATCTGCCTGCCAATGCAGGGGACACGGGTTCGAGCCCTGGTCTGGGAAGATCCCACATGCCGTGGAGCAACTAAGCCTGTGCGCCACAACTACTGAGCCTGTGCTCTAGAGCCCTCGAGCCACAACTACTGAGCCCGTGCTCTGCAACAAGAGAAGCCACTGCAATGAGAAGCCCCTGCTCACTGCAACTAGAGAAAAGCCCGCACGCAGCAACAACGACCCAATGCAACGAAAAATTTAAAAAAAACTCCTGGTCTTAAAATTCTGTCTTGTCACTGCAGTGTGCTGTGACACTCTTCAAAAATGACGCAGAGTAAAACTTCTGGATAAGTAGTTGCTTTATTATTAATTTCATAAATACGGCATTTTAAATTATTAGCAACAAAAAGGCCAGTGCTATGCTGCGTTCATGTGTGTGTCAGTGTCACAGTAAGAGCTGTGTGATTAGAGTTGTGTATATAAGGACATGATTGTGTTAAATGGTTTTTCAAAAGTCCATGGAAACCCTTTCTTCTAATTTAGTTTGATTCTAGTAACCCATATATGTATGGCGGGACATGTCTGGAAAGGCACATATAAGCAAATTTGTTTAAATTGAGTAGAGAGGGAAGGGGAGGACTGAGCCTGTGGGTGGGTCTGGGCAGGGCCAGAGGGGATTTCTGTTTGAAATGGTGCTGAAACCATTCGCCAGCCTGATCACACCTTCCACTGCCCCTCCTCTCCTCCACATCTTCTGTTGGGCTTGGGAGACTGTTAGTGCTTTAAGCCAACAGAGGATGAGGCCCACGGGCGGAGAAGGCTTCAGGTCACAGTTGCTTTGTGGTGGCATCTCTCCCTCCCCGCCGCTGCAGTTTCTCGTTTGGATTGGTACTGTGGTGTGTTCATGTCTGTGGGATGCGCGCCTGCTCTAATGCCGGGAACTCGGGAAGCTCCCGCAGCTTCGACACTGAAGGTGCCCATCAAGTACGTGGAGAGGCCAGGCCACAGCCAGGCTCCCCGTCTTCCTGTGGAGCATCCATGCACTGAACTAGAATATTGCAGAGCAGGGTTAGAGCTTAGCTCTGACTGCCCTGGAGCCCCACCTCTCCCACGGTTTTGAGGGTCGGCTGTAGTAAATTCTGACCAATACAAGGCTCCTGCAGCAATTCCAGAGCCATAAAAGCCTGTTGGACACCAGAGGGTCAGCCCAAGAGTGGAAAACATCAGGCAGCTGGAACGTGTCCTGATCCTTCAGGTGGAGACACAGGCACTGTGCATGTGGGCAGGACACAGGCTGTGCTGGGTCGGGGGTTCCAGGGCCGTGGCTCCCTAGCCGGTGGCAGCTAATGCCTCTCCTCTCCCCTCCCCCAGGGCCGTGTCCGTCTCATCCATGTCTGAGTTCCAGCGCCTGATGGATGGCTCTCCCTTCCTGCCAGAGAAGGGCCTGCCCGCCACCAGCAGCAAGGAGGACATCACCCCACCCCTCTCCCCAGATGACCTCAAGTACATCGAGGAGTTCAACAGCAAGAGCTGGGATGATAGGCCCCCAGACCCCTGGGCGGACAGGACCGAGGCGGGTCGGGCGAGGCCCGAGGCCAGCACCGACCCTTTCTCCGACTCCTCCTGGTACCTCACCACGAGCATCACCCTGACCACGGACACCGTGACCAGCCCGGAGCACTGCCAGAAGCAGCTCCCGCGGAACCTTGTCTGCGCCGAGCAGGCCGGGGTGAGGATGCTGCACAGCCCGCCCGCCGTGCGGAGGCTGGATGGCACCGTGGTGGCAGGCGGTGAGGGCAGGGCCCGAGGGGGCCCGGGGGACACCAAGGGGGGCTGTTCTGAACACATTCTTAGGTGGCCCTGTGCCCCCTCCAAGCACACCCGAGACTACACGGAGGGTGGGCTCTGGCCCCTCGACAGCACCCTCGGTTTCTCCTCCCCGCTGCACAGCCTGGAGATGTCCAAGAACCTGAGTGATGACATGAAGGAGGTGGCCTTCTCTGTCAGCGCTGTCTGCTCCAGCCCCAGGGAACCTCCGGTCAAGGACACGGCCTGCCAGACCAATGGGTCCCGGACAACAGGGACGCAGACCATCCAGACCATCAGCATCGGCCTGCAGACCGAAGCCCTGCGGGGCAGCGCCGTCACCAGCAGCCCCCACAAGTGTCTCACACCCAAGGCAGGGGGTGGCACCACGCCCATGTCCTCTCCCTCCCGTGGCCTCAGGAACAGGCAGGTGGCCCCCGCCATCGAGAAGGTGCAGGCCAAGTTTGAACGCACATGCTGCTCCCCCAAGTACGGGTCTCCCAAGCTGCAGAGGAAGTCGCTCCCCAGAGTGGACCAGCCAAGCAGCAGGACCTCCCCGGGGCTGGCCCCGAAGGGCTGCGGCGAGTCAGCCTGGGCCCGTTCTACCACCACTCGGGAGAGCCCCGTGCACACCGCCATCAACGACGGCCTCTCCAGCCTCTTCAGCATCATTGACCACAGCCCTATGGTGCAGGACCCCTTCCAGAAGGGGGTGCGGGCCGCCAGTCGGTCTCGTTCGGCAGAGCCCCCGCCGGAGCTGGGCCCGGACACGAGCCCCAGCTCCCGAGGCCGGTCGCCCAGCCCGGTCGGGGGTGGCTCCGAGACGTGCAGGGAGGAAGGGGGAGAGGGCACGCCTGCGAGGCAGGACCTGTCTGCTCCCCCTGGCTACACGCTCACCGAGAACGTCGCCCGGATCCTCCACCGGAAGCTGTTGGAACACGCCTTAAAGGAGGAGCAGAGGCAGGCCGCCCACGGCACCCCCAGTCTCAGCAGCAACGGCCCCGTGGGAGAAATGACGGTCAGAGCCGAGCCAGGGTCCATCGAGGTAAAGGAGGCTGAGTATCCCACCCCCTCCCCCTGCGGCTCGTCCTTTTCAGTGTCAGCACAGCTGACCCTGGGGTTGTACCAGGTTATGTGAGTTCAGGAGGTTCAGGGGAGGATGGAACAAGCAGGAACGCAAACCCTGAGCTGCTTCTTAAAAGAGAACTTGGTTTTATTGCCGTCAGTGATCCTCTGAGGACCATGAGATGGTTTTCCTAAGTAGCTCAGGGATTGACTCAGGTCCTCCACTGTGGCCTCAGCGATCCATGCTTGTCTGTTTATCAGGGCTTTTCATTTGGGTTCACATTTCCCCTCCTTCTGTATGAGTTTGTGTCCTGGGAGCGTGTGTGGGCAACGTCAGGCTTTCTGCTCCAGCTGTGTGTGTGAGATGAAGAGAGAGGGTTTTGACAGGGTGGACATAGAAGACCTCTCGTCAGGACCTACAGGAAGGGTGTCTGGATCCCAGCGCTGGCTTCAGTGCAGACAGCAGGTTCACGTCTCACAAATCCCATTACCCTCTCTGTATGCGTGCGTTCTTCTTAGCAGTAAGACCAGGTGAGACGAATGGATAGGGTCAAAATCCTGCCTTCATACAACGCGATTATTATCCTTATCCCCTTAAACATCACCTATTATTATGTTACCTGTGACCACGCTTATTATCCATTTGTCACATATTATTATGTGATTATTATTGTATCCCTCCCCCCTTAAGGTTATCTGCAAATCAGTCGATCTTGAATTCTGCCCTGTTCATACCCACATGTGGTATAACTGGACCACGGCAAGGATGAGCGAAATAAAACAAAGCCCCATGATGATGCCGGGGGTGAAAACGGTGGTGATGTTGGCCTTATCGTTCACGCAGTGCCAGAGGAGGTTTCCCAGCCCTTGGTCAGCCACCCTTATGTGTAGACCTGGGGGTGAGGCCTGGCCCACCAGGAACCCAGATGCAAAACCTCCACAGCAGTGGAATCCAGACACTGGTAGGCATTCTCCAGGCTGGGCAGACAGCAGATGGTGAAGGTTAGAGAAAGACACATACAGGCTCCCTCCCAAGGCTCTGCAGCCCCAGATGCACAGGTGAGGAGAGGAGGAGGTGTATTTCCTGTGTCACCTGATCCACCCACAGTGGGAAAAGGAATGCTCAGCTTCCCAGTATAACCCAACAAGAGGCATTTAACTCAAAATATAGAGTTTAAACCTGAAGTAGATTAAACCATGTGAAATTGCCAATGACCTACAGAAATGGCAACACCATATGGCTCAACCTAATAATATTGACAGTCTGTGGCCTACGCCTGCCAGAGGTACACATCTTTGTGATAAAGCTGTGTGCTCTGAGAAGGAGGCTGGGCCCTCAGGTAACAATGGTGTCTTCTGCGGGCTCTGTCACCCCGTCCCTCAGGCCCCTCAGGTACGTGGTTTGCTGCTGCAGAGGGCCCAGCCAGGTGAGTGCCACCCCTTCTTGGAATGAGAGCGTTGTCCCGAGCATTAACTAGCTTGTCTGTGGTGTCCATTTATATTAGAGACATTCTGAGTCATGAATGAATGCTGCAGGCAGGCAATCTATGAGACTAGAAAGGAAATAGTGCTGGGGTTGAGTCATTAAACCAAGGCATGAAAATGGCTTTATCCATATAAAGCTGTGCCCCCCTTTGGTCCTCTGTGAAGTGTCTGTTTAGATTTTCTTCTCGGTGTGTTTACTACCAAAAGGGGTGATGGCTGATTTAAAGGGGGACCAGCCACGGTGTCAGGGGTTCAGAACTGGCATGGAGCTCTCACGGGCAGTGTTTAAATGTCATGGGCTCTTTTTCCTTTGCTGTTGGAATTTGGCTTATTCTGGACTCCAGTGGAATTATTCCTCACCTGAACTGACTTACTATATTAGGCCCATTGGAGACCCCAAGACCCCTTCCCATCCCTCCCTAGACTTGTGGTAGTTTTTTTCATTTCAAAATCAGAATGAATTCAGATTTCCCACCCTCCTCTGAGCCCATGTGGGAGAATCTTTCCCGGAGTGCTCAATGGGACAGCTAAACGTGGGTGATGATGGAGTCATCCCTAGCCAGGAACGGGCACAGTAGGAAACTCCCTTTCTCCCCTCCCTCTAACCCCATGAGCTACTTACTCCTCTGTTTCTCTTGAAGACATAGCACCAATGCACAATGGTGCATTCTTTCTCTCTAGAAGCTGTGAGCAGGTCTGGTGTGGAGAGAGAGGATAATCTGGAAATGTCTCAGTGGAAAATTCGAAGGGCAAGTTTTAGTCTGAGCTGCAGTCATTTGGTCATTGTGACTGAAACAATCTGGCTGTTTAATGGGCTCTGTTTCAAAAACAGCAGTCGTAGGGTGTTGGAAATGTTAAATGCCAAGGGGCAGCTCAGGGAGAAGAGAAGAATAGCCAGCGGAAGGGAGAGGTCTGTAGCTGTTCTGTCGTGAGGGCCCCTCCTGCTCCGGCCAGGCGGGGGCCGGCCTGTGTGCCCGCTTCTCCAGATGGCTGCCACCAGGCCTGTTGACTTTAAACCTTTACTGTTGTTCTTTTTTAAAAAGTACTTTCAAACCTACTTGCTTTTTCTCTTCTTTGTCTGTCTGTTCTGTCCAGAACCAAACTGTCTTACTAACTGCCCCCTGGGGACTCTAGCCCTGCCTGCCTCACGCCGTAAGTGCTTTCTTCCTTCTTTCCACACTGTCTGGAGAGGTGGTCATGCAGCTCAGGGCGGGCCCAGGGTCCACCTGCAGGGATCAATGGCAGGCCCAGACGGGACCACTTGCCCCCCGGGGTACTGACTGCTCAGTAGAGATCCTATTGAGATCTCCCCTCTCCTGTGCAGTCTGCAGCCAGTATGCTCCCGAAGGGGTAAAAGGACATTGGCCAGCGAGGGAACTGTCCAGCCTGCAGGGTCTCTGAGCTGAGCGTGTTCCCCGTAGGCCTGCCTGCTCACTGACATTTCGGTGGCTGTGCACTGCCATGTGCTATAATAAGGTGTGACCATTACGCATAAGGCTTTTCTCTTTCTTTTCAAAAACCACACCAGAGGGAATAAATACAAATGTATCTTGTCCTTCCCAGGGGTCACCATAGGGGTCGTAGTAAGTGCTCAATAGATTTGTGTTAACTGACTAAACAACACAATCGTCCCTGCTCCAAAACTGCAGAATCACCTTCAGAGCCTGAATCAAAGCTTGTGAGAAAATACCAACCTTGTTTCTGATCAAGGATATAGTCACCCACCCCCTTATCCACTGGCCTTAAATACAACTGGCTCTCAAAGACTAAGCACATGACCCACGAAAAATGACAAAGAATGGCTCCAGAGGCCATTTCCAGAAGAGGTGCTGGGGAAAAAACAGCATTGCTTGCTTAGATGTGCTGCTGTGATGCTAAAGAGAACTTTGTCCCCTTGAACTCATGGTCACACAGCATTTCTTCCGTGCAGAGACGCTAGTGACGAGGTGGCACAAATTAACAGAAAACCCTTGTCACTCAGCATCAGCTTGCACAGTGGTGTCCAAAAGTCATATGCCGGCAACCTCCACACACGGCTAGACAACACCTGTTACAAACCAACACACTTACATACGCAGCACCAACCACACGTCTCTTGAGCCACCGTCCCTCGTGCCCTGGGCTAAGGTGAGGACGTTTCCTTTAATTTTGGCTGTTTCAGTGCTGACGTGTTTTCACAGGCGAGGTAGCTCTGGCTGCCGTGGTTTCCATTAGTGTAAGTGCTTTGCTGAGGAGGCCTCCCTGTAGTCACATGAAGTGCCACCAGCAGGTCCAGGGATGGTAGAGTCACCGTGTGTGTGTCGATGCTCCTTTTCTGCTGCCCTTGGGCGGCGACCACTCCCCCATCCCTCCATCTTCTCCCTGTGCTCTTTGTCGCTCTGATGACTACATGCTCCTCATTCTGCTCTGCTCATCACATCTCTTTATATCCCTCGACTTAACTTCCTGAGTGGCTCTGAGGTCCTTGTTCTGTGTTCTGCATCACAGTGGTTTCCCACCTCAGCCTCTTGTTGTGTGGGTGTCCGGGTGGAAAGAACTCACCGTTTCCTCAGGTCACAGCTGCCCACACCTCTGTGCCCACAGATCTCAAGTCAGTGTCCTTTGTCCTGGCGTGCAGAGTAAGGACAAGTAGCTCAACAGTCTCTAATACCAAAAAAGGAGCAGCAGCCTTGAGAGGACGTACTGTAGGTGATTGGTCCCAGGGTTATTGGTCCTCAGAAGGTGCAGGAGCCCGTAGCATAGAAGCACAAGCACACTTGGGCTCCACTTTTTTAAATTTTATAAATTTTTGCTTGTTTCTTATTTTTAGCTGTGTTGGGTCTTCCTTGTGGTGCGCAGGCTCCTCATTGTCGTGGCTTCTCTTGTTGCAGAGCACAGGCTCAGTAGTTATGGCGCACAGGCTTAGTTGCTCTGTGGCATGTAGGATCTTCCCGGACCAGGGCACGAACCCGTGTCCGCTGCATTGGCAGGCACATTCTTAACCACTGCACCAAAAGGGAAGCCCGGGCTCCACTTTTTAAATGCTGCTGCCAGGAAGAGTCATTAGATAAAACCCCCTAAATGAAAGTTTCTGCCTGCAGCATTATCTCCGTGTGGTGGGAGTTTAACACAGTGCCAGTCAACCTGGAATAAACGGTAGCAGAGTTGGTTTGAAGGTGAGCCCCGTTGCTGGTGCAGCCTGATGGAGTCATAGAGCCCTTCATGGCCAGCCTCTTAGGACTAGGCAGACCACTCAGGACCCCCGCTTCCATTCGCTGCAGCCCAATTCCGAAGGCGCCTCGTATACACACCCGTCTCATGCCACGTTTTCATCATAATTTGCTATCTCCCATTACTGTCGTCACTAGTCATTCGTGTTGAATTCTTACCTTTTTAACTCATACTCCGTGAGCAATGTATAACTTAGCATTCACAAGTTGCAGACACCCTGGTCTGTTGCACTTGAGTCTCCTGAGAAGTTTGTTTGGGGGAAAATCACCTCCCAGAGGACCTGTCCGTCTGAGTAACCCTGTCTTTCTCTTCCTCGGCTTTGAAGGAACTCCCTTGTTCTGCACTAGCTCCATCCCTAGAACCCTGCTTCTCCAGGCCCGAGAGACCAGCAAACCGTCGCCCTCCGTCCCGTTGGGCCCCACATTCCTCCACTGCCTCACCAGCTCCGTCACCCAGAGACCTGACCTCCTTGGAGGAGCTCGGCGACGAGGGGCCGCCCCCCGGGGAGAAGCCACACCTGTGATGCAGGCTCGCATGGATTATCTGGAATAATTCACTGTAATTGCATAACCACACCGTCATCATCAACCGAACTCTACCCCAAAAGGAGAGATCTGGTTTTCCCAAGGTCAAAGAATGTTGTTTTTTTTTTAAAATAACACAGCTGCTGAATGTTCAACCTGTGAATCTGAGATGTTTCTAGAATGAAACAGTAAACGTGCCTGTAAGAACTTAATTTTTTTCATAGCTCAGAAAACTATTTTTGTCTCCATCTTTTTTACAGAAAGTATATTAAACAAAAAAGTAAATAAGATATAAATTTAAAAACAAAGTTTTTAAGAGATTCTGAACACCCTCGCGCGCGATACTGACTGCCTCACTGTTAAATTTGCACTGTTAACATTTGGTTTGGTTTATTTCCACGTTGAATTAGAGTGTTTTAAGTTAATTTTATTTTGTCAGTGTTCTTGTTTTTTAAGAATTTTTGAAATGCTTCAGACTGTATGATTCAGTGAACTTTTTGTAATGAAAAAACCATGAAGCCAGTAGACAAGGCAGATCTCCTATACCCTTGAGGGGATAGATGGCAGCATTCTGGAAAGGTAGAGAGGCCTCAGCCGGGTTGCCCAGACCTGCTGTATAATCCACATATTCTCGACCTGCACGTCTTTGGGTTCGAAGCACTGGGGTGCATGTACATACCGCTGCTGTGGTCTCGCCCCGCTTATGTGTGAGCCCTCTGTCCCACTGTGATACGGTGTGAACCCCCTCGTACTGTACTGTTGTTGTCTTCTCACATTGATGATACGACAGCAATGGCATTTTAAAATTATTGTTAAAAGATTAACAGGCAATACAGTGTTTACTCCAAATTTCCTTGTTTAAGGAAAAACAACTACAAAGAGTCCTGAGGATACCAAATGGAAAGAGAGAGGGTTGTGCCTCGGAGTCTGTATGAGATGATGATGAAGAAGAAATAAAGCCTTTACAAGACGGCGCCTGTCCCAGACCTTGTGTCTCACACACCCTCCACCTTTTCCTGACTACTCACGCAAAAGTTTCCCATTGGAGGGGGTGAGGTGGGGGGGGGGTCATACAGCCACTCACGTATCTGACTGGGATGCACTGTGAGTGCACAACGGCCTTGCAGTTTCTCTGCAAGGGCATCCTGGAATAAACAGGCGACTACATTTTTGCTAAAAAAGAAAAGCCGAAATGGGTGGGCGAGGGGGTGTGAGGAAAACAGTTATCCACAGTCAGAATGTGCCCACCCTCTCCACTCCTTGGAAGGTGGGAGAGGCCGTTTCCATCCCTGGACTGAGATGCAGCCCAAGCTGCCAGTGTTTGGTAAGTAGGAGTTTACGAAGAAGTGGTGCTGATGAAGAAAACAAGAACTATTTCAGGCTGAAGCTTCTAGCTGTAATCTTTCAGTAACAAACCCGCTATGGTATAAGTTATTTTCCCAGTATTACCACAGTTCCATTACCATTAAACTAAATATTTTTTTTATAAACACAAAGTACTGTTGGACATTGGAGCCTGCTGTAGCTGCTGCAGGAAAACAGCCTGACAGTTCCTTAAAAGGTTAAACAGTTACCATATGATCCAGTAATTCCACTTTTGGGTGTAGGCCCAGGGGAACTGAAAGCTGGGACTTGGACAGATATTTGTTCACCCATGTTCACAGCAGCTGTATTCACAGTAGCCAAAAAGTGGAAACAATACAAGTGTCCATCGATGGATGACAGATAAACAACATGTGGTTCGTCCATACACTGGAATACTCCTCAGCCTCAGGAAGGAGATTCTGGCACCTGCTACAGTGTGGATGAACTGGGAGGACACTATGCTACGGGATAGAAACCAGCCTCAAATACTGCATGATTCCACTTATCTGAGCTACCTAGAGTAGTCAAATTCCAGATACAAAAGTAAAATAATGGTTAGCAGGAGTTAGCGAGAGGAAAGAACAAAGACCGTGCTTAACGGGTGCAGAGTTCCAGTTTGGGAAGGTGAGAAAGCTTGGAAATGGATGATGGGGACGGCTGCACAGCATGTATGTACTTAATGCCACTGAGCTCTACGCTTAAACATGATTAAAATGGTGAGTGCTGTGTATATTTTACCACAGTAATAATTTTTAACGCAAAAAAGGAAATATTCTACTTCACCCCCTAGACGCAGCTGTTGACAAGGATTTCTTTCAGGCCCAGCCTCTGCCCACAGTAAGTGCTGGGAGATGCAACAACACTCTTCCCGTCGGAAGCAAGCAGGCAAGCTGTTGGTGCTCATAACTGGAAAAGTGCCAGCATCTAGCACAGCTGCAATCCAGGACTCTCATCGTTCCATCAGGACATGCCCTGTCTCCCAGCTCTGCTCTGTGTCGCTTTATTCTCAGACAAGCGTCCTAAAAGTTGGCAACCCTTGTTCCCAGAAGCTCTTACTAGTTCAGCAACTCCGAGAGAAAGAGGATCTCTTACCAGGAGCACCAACAAAAGCCCCAGGACTGAAGAATCTCATGGTTCTGCCTTAATTCACTCATCTCCCTCTGAGCCTGTCACTGCCAGAATGGCCCAGCAAAGGAAAACCACCGGAGTGGTTAGGATAGAGGGGAAAGGGTGCCTAGAAGGCAGGGAAGGCTGAATGTGATGGTGGGGCACCCCGGAATTACAAGGAGAGGTTCTGGTCGTCACGGAACTTGCTCTCTGGCTGGAGGAGATGAATCCCAGGCACAAATGCAGAAATGGCATGGTGTAAATCCAAGTGGTGCTTGAGCTGGGCTTGGGAGGAAGAGCAGGATTTAACTGTGAAGGCAGGAGGGGTTGTCAGGTGGGGGAAGAGAAGGGGCAGAGGTGTGGGGAGGTGGTGATGGGACCTCTAAGCAGGGCAGGGGTGTGGTCACTGCTGGAGGCAGAACCTGCAGGGACAAAGCCACGTTAGTGGCACCAGTGCCTTGAAAGCACTTTGGAACTTCTCCAACCATCCAGTTCTCTAATTGTTAGGCATTTGTATTCCTGAGTCCATTTACCGTGGAACCATTCCAACTTTTGCAAAGGCAAGACCAGAGGATGAAATCACTTGCTATGCTCCTGTCCAAATGGACGGCGAGGCACTAAGTAGGTAAGAGCAGCTGCTTGTCTCTTCATGTCCCCACCAGCCATCCTTAATGTGCAATTCGCTTTTATGTTCTAAACAAAGAAGCAGACTCCTCAAACCCAGCCAAGAGCCCTCACACACACACGCTGGGCGTGCCCTGCCCACTGGTCTCACCCAGCACCAGCCTGACATTCTCACCAAACTGCCGTCAGTCTGGCTGGGGGCAGCCACAGCGCAACTTTCCTTTTCTCTTCTGATGAAAAGGTAACCTTGTGACGTTAAGGTTTTCAGTATTACGTGTCTTCTCAAAAAATACATGTGCACGTGATAATTCTAATTCTCTTTAGCACCGTTGTGTCTCATCTACTTTCTTATTAAGCCTGCCAGAGTTATGCACATTTATTTTGTTCAAAAAATAGTTAAGTGCAACTATTATTTTCTCTTTTCTAATTCACTGATTCTTAAAATACACGCAAAACTTAGCATTTTAACCATTTTTAAAAACCATTTTAAAGTGTACGACTCAGCGGCATCGAGAACGTTCACAGTGTTGTGCAGTCATCACCACTGTCTAACCCCAGAACACCTTCATCACCCTACAAGGAGACACAGCAGTTCCCCCCACAGTCCCCTGCTTCCTGTCTCTGTGGGTTTGCCTATTCAAGACATTTCATATAAATGGAATCATACAGTGTGGCCATGTCTGGCTTCTTTCACCTAGCACGATGTTTTCAAGGTCCACCTACATTACTGTAGCCTGTGTCAGTACTTCCCTTGTAACATTCCATTGTATGGATTACTGCATTTCGTTTATCTATTCATTTTTAAAACAAAATGCTTTATTTACCTTAAGCAGCCTTGATTATTCCCCAAAAGGAAGCAAGTCACAATGAATAATCAAGACACTCATCAATCAGTTTGCAAAATTAAGGCACTTTGGCATCTTTAACTCAAACATAGTTGTTTCCAGGGGCCACCAGTACATATTACACTTACGCTTTTGTTTGCATTCAGTCCTTTCAGCATCATTCTTTGATGCAGTGTGCACTGGAAACCAGTAATAGCAGGAAATCTGGCTGAGTCATAAGCAAGTTGGCCGTTTGAGTGAATCTGACGACACTGGGTCTTTAGTAAACTCTGGGCCCCTCCACTCAGTGGAGAAATCTGGATTTGAATCCTGGTTTGAACACACAGTAATGCAGCCTTAGGCCATCTCTTTGAGACTCATGTGAAGAATAGCAACAATACCTACTTGCCAGACATGTGAGGATTAAGGTTTACTGTGCATCTACTGTATGCAAGGTACTACGCTAAGAGTTGTGAACACGAACTTTCAACCAGAACAGAAAAGAGGCTCCGGGCTCTCACAGAGCTTATGTCCTGGTGATGAGAAATGTGTAGTAAACAGGTGTGACTGTGATGGAGAATAGCTAACTAAAAGGCTTCCCTGGGGAGATACCCTCTGAGCTGAAGCCTGGGCAAGAGGCAGCTGTCGGCTGGGCAGAGGACGTAGCTGGTGCAAAGCCGGGATGAGGAGCAGAGCCTGTCTGTTCCTGGAAGCGAAGGACGGGTACTGTGGCCTGAGAGGGCAAGGGGAGGCCTCACGGTGCACAGGAAGGAGTGAATTTTACGCGAGGTGGGGGGAAATCCACTGAAAGGTATTAAGCAAGGGAGTTACTTTCTGGAAGACTACTGTGATGTGAGGATAAGAAGGGGCAAGATTGGAAGGCTTCCCGACAAATGACTGTGGTGTTGGCCCAGAGAAGCCTGGTGGCCGCTCGGACAGTTCTGCATCACACCGCCAGGCTTGCCGCATGCCACTCATCAAGAGCTGGGCTTTAGGATCCGCTGCTGAGGATTCCGCGGGACCCACTGCCAAACGCCAGAATCTACTGCAGTTGTTCAGATAAAAGCTGAACCAAGCCCTTATTCTTCTGCTGCCTCTCAGGCTGGGCCAGCAGCCTTGTCAGTGGCCTTGGGCCAAGAAGAACAGTCACCCTCTTAGCCCCCTTCCCTTCGGGGCACAAAATCACACAGCAAGCTTCTCATTTCTGTTTTGTTTTTAAGGTCTGCCCTTTCTCCAAAAGGAAGGTGGCACCTTCTAAGCTACTGTCATTTGTGATTTAGTAAAAATGGGTTCCGGCTCTGGGTGTGCAGATGGTGGGGGAGGGTTGGGGAGGCACCCAGTTATAAGCGCTGCACAGTGAAATAGAAGAGAAGGGGATAGGAACACAAAGATAGCCGACTTCGTTTGTTCTAGGCCCAGTTTTGTCCATTAGATTCAATGAACCCAGTCCATTTCAAAGACAGAAGCTTCTATAACTTCCTAGTGAGCTAATAAACTTCAACAGGGCACCAGGAATCCAAACCTCACAATCCCCACAGTAATCCTGGGACAAACTCACCACTCATTATTCATCAACTCCAGCCTCCCTAGTACATGTGACTTTAGCTGATTAAAATAAAAACAAAGCACTGAAGACACTATGATGAAGTAGGTGCACCTGAAAATAGCTGGAAGAATTATAAATTCTGAATTCCAAATGTCTTGAGAATGACTGAGCAATAAGCAGTTATCTATAAAACTGTTTATACTTATTGAGTCATTTCACTTAGAGGAATTTACCCCAAATAACTCCAGTGAAACCAATGTAGTTTGTATAATACATTCATAACAGCACAAATTATACAGAAAAATCTGGAAACAGGCTAAACTAGTTATAGTTCATCAACAGATTGAATATTGTGCTCCTTCACCTAGAAAACATTCCTAGTGACCAGGGACTGGATGGACCTGTGGGGACTCAAACATAAATGTGATGCAACTGCCCCTACGAGGCTCATCACCTGGTCAATGGTGTCCAACTACCTGGGCTCGAATCCTGCTTCACCACTTTCTAACAAAACACCGTCGGGAAAGTTACCTGTGCCCCCTAAGTCTCAGTTTTCTGCTATGCAAAATAAAAGCGTTAATAATCATCACCTAATTAGCTAAGTTAGGTTAAGTTATGAGGTCTGGATAAGCTAATACCTGTCAAGCACTTAGAACAGTGTCTGGCACTAAGATTTGTTAGTAAGTAAAATGATTATGCAAATGTCACATTATAAAACAATATGATACGTGCTATAAGAGTATATATAAGTGTAGAGTGGGCACAGAAAAGGGACTGACTCTGCCCGGCGCTGGGGCACAGGAGTGGTGGTGGTGGATGGAAGAGGTCTAGGAAGACCTCATGCTGACCTGTATGGTAAGAGTCTTGGAGGAATTGATGAGGGACGAGACTGAGAAAGAGAACTTCGAGAAATACTGCCTAGGTTGTGCATGTAATACTCCTCTGGGGTCTCTGGAGAGAGATTCAAATTTATTTTCAATTACTTTTGTATACTGGACTGGTGTTTTTATCAAATGTTGACACCATGCTAAGCTTTATTGGAAAGAAAAGCAAAGGGTGAAAAGTAGCTCATCCATCCTGAGCCCCCCAGGACCCTGCCATCCATCTCAATACAGGAATCCCATAATAAGGGCTGCCGTATCC